AATGTCATGAAAAAATATGTGTACTATTGTTTAATGAGAAGCTATTTGTTCTGTAAGCCTTCACCTGAAGTACAATTAAAAAAAAAAAAAAAAGTGAGCCTACAGATTGGGAAAAAAATTTTGACTATGACATATCCAATAAGGGTCTTATCTCTAAAATCTGTAGGAAAATCCAACACCTCTACAGTAAAAGGACAAATAATCCAATTAAAAAAAGGGCAAAGGATATGAATAGACACTTTACCAAAGAAGACATTCAGGCTGCTAAGAGACGCATGAGGAAATACTCGCGACCACAAGCCATTAGAGAAATGCAAGTGAAAACTACAATGAGATAACCATCTCACCCCTAAATTACTGGCACAGATCAAAAAAACAGAAAGTGACAAATGTTGGAGAGATCGCAGGGAGATTAGAACTCTTATGCACTGCTGGTGGGAATGCAAAATGGTACAGTCATTTTGGAAAACAATATGGCACTTCCTTGAAAAGCTAGAAATAGAAATACCATACAATCCAACAATCCCATTCCTAGGAGTATATCCTAGAGAAACAAGAGCCTTCACACAAATAGACATATGCACACCCCTGTTCACTGCAGCATTATTCACAATAGTAGAAAGATGGAAACAACCTAAGTGCCCATCAACAGATGAATGGATAAACTATGTTACATACACACGATGGAATACTATGCAATGACACATTTCACAACATGGGTGAATCTGGAGGGCATTAATGCTGAGTGAAATAAACCAAACACAAATAGCCAAATACTGTATGAGACAACTATTATAAAAACACATGAAAATGTTTCCACACAGAAAGAAACAAACTTTGATGGTTACAAGGGAGGGGAGGGGTTGGGAGGGAAAAACACTAGCTAGATGGTAGACAAGTAGTAACATTGTTGAAGGGTAAGACAGCACACAATACTGGGGAAGTTAGCACAGCGTGACCAGGGCAAAATCATCGAAGCTTGACAGACACATCCAAATGTCTGAGAGACCGAGCTACTGGGCTGAAGGCTGGGTACTATGGTCTCAGGAGACATCTAGCTCAATTGCCATAGCATAGTCTATAAAGAAAATGTTTTACATCCAACTGTGGTGAGCAGCAACTGGGGTTCTTAAAAGCCTGTATGCAGTCATCTAAGATACATCTACCGGTCCAATCCTGGCTGGAGGAAAGGAGAATGAAGAAGACCACAGACACAATGGAAGGATCAGTCCAAAGGACTAATGGATAACAACTACCACAACCTCCAACAGACTGAGTCCAGAACAACCAGACGGAGCCCAGTTACCACCACCGACTGCTCTGGCAGAGAACACAGTAGAGGGTCCTGCACAGAGTGGGAGAAAAACGTAGAACAAAATTCAAATTAAACACACACACACCAAGACCAGGCTTGCTGGTCGGACAGAGACTGGAGAAACCCCGAGAGCATGGCCCCTGGACATCCTTTTAACTCACT